GGGAACTTGCCCAGACACTAAAGTTGATACTTATTCATCAGTCTGTGAAAAGGAGGGACAAGACTCAGTCTCTCCTGCTGCAAAAATGTGGATACACAAAATGTGGACCTTGAGTTTACATAAAAACAAGAACTGCCACAGGGGAGCAATGCATTATGGGGGAAGATGGAGGCTCTGTCTCTACAGCTGAACTGCAGGAACAGATGAGGCAGATACTCTATTTTCAAGAAAACTTCTTCACAAATCAAGCAAAACTTCAACACACAGGTTTCTTATGCATGAGCACACTGGATTATTTTGGCTACCACTCTTTTATTCTTTTGCCTTTCTTCTTACCATGTCATCTTTACCTTCAAGCAAGGGCTTTAAATTACCTAGAAGTAGCCTAGGTTAATGTGGTTAGAACAGTGCTATTCAAGATGTGGGCTGGCAGTATGAACAAGGCCAGGATGCTTCCTCTATATGAAATGTGGGGTTCCCCACTACAGAGCTGCTAAATCAGACCCTCTGGAATGGAGCCCGGCAACTTGTGTTTTAATAAGTTCTCCTGGTGATTCTTATATTTGCTAAAGTTTGACAAGCACAAAGACAGCATTAGTGGGAGATGTGGGCGATTTTAGGAACTGTTTGGGGAACTGGGTATTAGCAGATAACACTAGATTTCCTGCCCTCAATTCCTCTTTATATTATTTGGAAAAGAGAACTGTGAGAAGTTAAATTCATGTTTTGTCTGCAGGCTCTGGGGTCACCCCAGCACCACATGCTCCCAAATTACTCTGGATTATTTCTATGACAGAGACCCAGACTGGGGATGCTACAGCAGGGGTTCTTCTTGGGTTTAAGTAGATAAATCCAACGGGATTAATATAAACTCAAGTGCTAAAACAGAATCATAAAAGGTGTATGCCTAGAAACCTCTGTTTCTAAAAGTGAGATTTGCCTCATCTCTGAAAAAAGAATGAAATCAGTTTACAAAAACAGGTTTTGGTCTTGTAGATAGGTCAAAATTTAGAGAGAATGAAATAAAGTGAAGGAAATCATTCCAAGGAGGAGAAGAAAATTTGAAATCATATTGGCCCAGCTAAAAAAATAAAGCAAGGGAAAGGAGATATACTCAAACTACTCTAAAGAGACCAGAAAAGATAGGAATATGGACTACTAGGTCAGGGAAAGTGGCTCAAAATCATCAAAGAGGAGAATAAAGGGACTATTGTGGAGAACAAACTAAAAGGACATCCCCCCAAAGGCTGCCCAGATTCGGGTATTATTCTATCAAAAAGAGTCCTCTTAAAGTTTTAAATTGGGAACCCATAATAAACACAAATGGGGAACTCTTCAATAACTGAAATTGCTACTCTGTAATTACAGAAAATCTGGACATATTTAAAAAGAGAAAGACTAGAAAGGTCAGTGTAGAATTCTTCAAGCATCATTAAATTAGCTGCAAGGTGGCATTGTTCTCAGAGATGGAATAAACACTTCCTAGTGAAAGTAAAGGTGGGAAGAATTTATTTGAACACTGGATGACTGTGGCAGAACTCTCTGGCATCATTCTCTCTCTATGGAAACATCACCAGCAAGATCCATAGTAGTATGTTAGGAAAACAAAAATCTAAATGTGAAAACAAAAAGCAAACGTAGGGAAGGAAAACCAACCAAAAAGTCATCCCCCCTCCTGGGGAGAGAGAAGGAACGGAAACAACTGAGAGGGAGATTGACAGTGGGGCCTGCCAGAATTGCAGGAGAACTGAGGGAACTGCAATGTGGGAGGCTTATCTCTCCAACACAGAAAAGGAAACAGTGGCAGGAAGGAATGCTTCAGTTCCCATCAAAGAAGCACAGCTGGTTCAAGTCTTAGAAATTCAGTTCTAAGGAAAGGTGGGGCTTGGGTAAGAAATTACCAACCTAGGGACCTTCCTGGACCTCATCAGACCAGGCTGAATAATATTCCATTGTGTATATGTATCACATTGTTACTTCTCATTCCCTCTGTGAAAGCTAAGTTCCAGAAACTCACTGCAGCTCAAGGATCAGCTGAGGGTTATTCTCCTGGGGAGACAAATGTGAAGCCTCATAACCAGGAAGCAGGGCAGGAACCCAAGGAGCTCAAAACCAAAACAATTCTTGGGATCTTTCTGGGAGATAGAGAAATTCTTAGAAAACAGCAGGAAATTGGAACTGTGAAAGGGGCATACAAGACAATGCAATTCCCTTGAAGAGTTTCCTCCTACTCCCACTGCTATAATGAGGGGTGCCCTGCCAACAACGGAAGCTCCCACACTAAAGAGAGTGATCTTCAGCAATGTTGTAAGGTGGGTAGAAATAGGCTTAAAGAAGAAATGAAAATGCAAAGGTTCTAAATACTTGGGTTAGACACCAAGAAAGACCTGGAGCCACCACTGCTAAATTCTAAAATTTTTAAGGAAAAATACATGAGAAGCCTAGTGTTAGGCTGAATCCAAATGACCTCATGAGAAGAGATTATCTCTCAAACTAAATTTTAATTCACAGGTGGTGCTCCAGACTGCTTAGTAACCTATAGAGGCTGAAGGCTGAAATGCCACATGCTAGATTATAGTTGCTACTGGTAATTTGGAGAAGGTAGCAGTGAGCTTGATTATACTCAAGCTGGAGTTCAGACCTTATCTCTTACCACTTTCTCCAGCTCACTCTGCTCCAGCCACACTGGCTTCCTTATGTGCCTAGAACATGCCTACCTCAGAACTTTGTTACTTCCCATTCCCCCTGTGCATGGCTTACGCCCTCACTTTTTTCAGTTCTGTGCTTAAAGTCACTTTATTATTATAATAAGGCCTTCCCTGCCCATCAATCATCATGCCCTTTGCCATGCTGTGGACTTTGTGGTACAAAGCTCCACCGAACACAATGCATTTCACTTGTTTATCTCTCTCCTCCCTGACCCCCTGACTCCAACTCCAGGGACAGCTAGAACTATCTTATGGCTACAATGCTGTCAGCTATCAGAACCTGACTGACACATAATAGACAAGACATAAACATTGATTAAGTGAATGTATCTGTGGCATTTGAAGATTTTTCTCAAGGTTCAAGGGTGACAAAAGCAAGGTGGGTCTGGACCAACTACTCAACTTCTCTTCTTGATAACTAAACATTTAGTGAGAAACAGTAGATGCACTGATTAAGAATGAAGGCCTTGTGTAGGATCCCAGTTTCAAAAAGACATATGCACCTCTATGTTTATCACAGCACTATTTACAATAGCCAAGAAATGGAAGCAACCTAAGTGTCCATCAGTAGATGAATGGATAAAGAAGATGTGGTACATATACACAATGGAATATTATTCAGCCATAAGAAAGAAAACAAATCCTACCATTTCAACAATATGGATGAAGCTAGAGAGTATTATGTTCAGTGAAATAAGTCAGGCAGAGAAAGACAAGTACCAAATGATTTCACTCATCTGTGGAGCATAAGAACAAAGCAAAAACCGAGGGAGCAAAACAGCAGCAGACTCACAGAACCCAAGAATGAGCTAACAGTTACCAAAGGGAAAGGGACTTGGGAGGTTGGGTGGGAAGGAAGGGTGAAGGGAAAAGGGGCATTACGGTTAGCACACATAACATGGGGGGGTTACATGGGAAGGCAGTACAACACAGAGAAGACAAGTAGTGATTCTATAGCATCTTACTAATCTGATGGACAGTGACTGTAATGGGGTATGTGGTGGGGACTTGATAATGGGGGGAATCTAGTAACCACAATGTTGCTCATGTGATTTTGTATTAATGATACCAAAAAAAGCAAAGAATGAAGGCCTTGGAGCCAGACTGCCTGTGTTCAAATCCCAGTTGTACATCTCACTAGGTATGTGATCCCTGGACAAGTTGCTTATCTTCTCTGTGCCTCATAACCCTTATCTGTAAAATGGGAATAATAGCAATGCCTTCCTCAGAAGGTTTAGTAGGTTTGCACTGATGTAAGGATAGCACTTTGAACATCTTTATATATTATAGCGTTGGTACATCTTTAGTGCTCAATAAACATAGCTTTTATTGTCATCAGCATTGTTATGTACTAGGAACTGTTCTAAACATTTTATGTGTGTTATACCATGTGATGATCACTCAGAAGGTAACTGAGGCCCAGGTGCAAAAAAGAACATATCTAATCCATTGGCTGGTTTAAAAAATTGAGGTGAGATTCTCACAACATAAAATTACAACATTAAAGTGTACAGTTCAGTGACATTTAGCACTTTCACAACATTGAGCAACCATCACACCATTTTGCTTTGCTTTTCTAAGGGCAGTGGTGAGCACAGAACAGAGGCCTTAGGAAAGCAGGAGCAGGACTTGTCCTATTCTACTCTTTTCCTTCAAAGAGGCAGCCTCCCCACCTGGCTGCCCTTAAATTTATCCTTTAAACCCAGTGGATTAAACAACAGGAGAAACTGTAGAGACTCCTGTGTCCCTTCCCATAGGGAGAGCTGTAGAGATGACGCAGTTTACCTCTATTAGGCTCCCTCACAAGGCCACCTGGCATTTCTACAGAGCATGACCTTCAACAGACCGCTGTTCTCTGTGTCAGCATAAGGAGCTTGTACTTGGTCCCATCTCGAGGCCTCTTTGTCCTGCCAGTGCCCTACACAGTGCCACCCACTTTTCTGATCTCCTGGAAGTGGGTTCTGGTTGTCCACAGCGACCACCCTCAGAGCTCAGTTGTCTTAATTTGGGGTGGGAGACAGGAAGCCTTATAGAATTCTCAGTCTGTCACTTTCAGGGGCCCTGAGTGAAGCTGTCTATTCTTAGTCTGTACCCTCCATGAGCCAGAACCCCTGAGGGGAAAGGGGTGGGCACTAAGATTCAGGTACCCTGAACCCCAAGTTGGAAGTTGGTTAGAATTAGAACCTATGTTTCTTGACTCAGGACTGGCATTCTTTATGTACCCCTACATTGCACAATTCACTCATTTCACGTGTTGTCCTGAAAGACAGAACAGAAAGACATCACACCTACCTGCTGGGGCAGTTGTCATCATTATTTGGGCTGAGTGCTGCCTGGGGGATCCCAGCAGGGTGATAGTCACTGTGTAATCAGTGGCTGGATACAGATCCAAACATACGACAGGAGCTTGTTCCCTCGTTGTGAAGTTAAATGATGTTGAGTGATAAAAATTACTCAGATACCACCTTTGACCCAGAACTTTAAACTGCCATGAGATTAAAAGAAAATGTTGCAGTAAGTTTTCTGTTGGTTTGCAGATATCTAGACTATAAGCAAAATGGACATACACCAAGAAGGCTTCTTCTACTTGTCCTCACCCACTTAGAATTATTTTTAATACAACAGCAAGCTAAACTGCAGAAGGACTTTGTGAAGCTACCTGTCCTATGCAATTTCTCCCTCAACCAGCTACAAGAACAAAGCTTTAAATGCATAACTACATCTCAGAAGAACAAAAGGTCAGGCTATTCTAAAGTAATCCTTGATGCCCATCCAGGTGAAGGAGATTACAGCAGAGTTCATGGGCAAAATTATTTTAATTACTTTACATCCATAAGGAATCTACAGACAAGCCTCATGGAACAGAGTTTTTAAACTGTATGAGAACTACTCCAAATTATGTATACAAAGTACCTATGCTGTGGTACGCCACTTGATCCTTCCTACTGGAGCTCTGGTGAAAGAGTTTTTGGTCCATGGAGATATCCACTGAGTCAACACACACTGTTAACTCAATTAATAGTCTATCCATTGCCAACTCAAGATGCATGTATAATTTGAGGGAAAAATGTGAAGGTCCCAAAAGTAATAGGATCAGTCAGTGTGCTTTAGCTGAACATCCTTGTGTTTATTTTCCTTCGATGATTGTCTCATTGGCTATACTGCCCTCTGTTCCTCCTTATCACTGTCATCTTCCACAGCCATCTAAGACACTGACAGCCAGTTCACCAGGAGATTCCTCTCTCCCCTAATTCCTAGCATTCTCTTGGGTACCTTAGAGGTCACTATAGATAAGCTATCAAAACTTGGCCTCAGAGTTCATGGAGCTTCATTCCACTTTAACTACTCATATCCATGGCCACATCCTAAACTGTGCCATCCCCAGAACTGATCCACCAAGATCTCACCATCCCCTATTCTGGACCACTCACTCCCACCATGCCTGCCTGGTCTCTCTCAAGAAACCCTCCAAGATTTCCTCACTCCAGATTTTCTACCAATATTCTACCACTCCCACCCTCATCTTACCCACCTATCTCAGATACCAGTGTCTATCACTTCAATTATTCTCTTGCCCAAACCTCAACACTCTTGACCTTTTGTTCTTAATTCCACCCATTTTAGAAAACAAACCACTGGGTCAATCCAGATGTTTGACTTGACCAGGTCTGTATTCAGGCCTAGGCTGCCATCTGCTGGACAAAATTCACAACTATGTAGGCTACATTTATACGAAGTCAGTCTCATTCTAAACGCCATTATGGTTTAGTTTATAAATGGAAAATTACTTTCTAGTTACAAACTTTGAATTGTACTATATGCACAATTTTATAATATAGTCCTTTTCTTTAACAATATGGATTTTTGCCTCCTATTAATTCATTCCATTAATAGATAGAGTGCCTATCATTTGCCAGCCAGAGTACACAGTGTTGGGTATAAAATGGCAAATAAGATACAGGTCCTAACCCCAAAGAACTCAGAGCTAAGCATCCAGACAAATCAAATACTGTAATATATGGGGCTGTAGGAACACTCAGTGGGAACAGCTAGCCCACCTCTTTGGAGATCAGGGAAGGCTTTCCCGTCTTAACTGTGGATGGAAGGAAAAATTAGCATTAACCAGGGGAGTTGGGATGTAGAAGGTCAGGGCAGGAAAAACAATTCAGATAGCAGGAACAGCATTTGGGGTAGGAGATCAATAAAGGCTTTCTCCACCCCCAAGCCCCCATCACCCAGGGTTGGGGGGGTAGATGGGGGTGGAGTAGGGGATGACTGAGCTAAGCAGGAGGTAGCCAGGTAAGGGAAGGGTGACGAAGGCAGAAGAAGTACATATGTGAACACATAGTGAGAAAGAGAACTCGAGAAGCTAGTCAGGGAGTATGGGGCCTTGAGCGTATGGGATAGATGAGGCCTGAAGAATAGATTAGGATTCATCAACATGGAGATAACTAAGGAAGTCAAGAGACTGGATAAGACCACACAAAGAGGGGTATAAAATAACAAGAAGACAGGTACGACCTTGAGGAAAATCAAATTTAAGGGACTAGCAGAGGAAGGGGACCTTGTGAAGGAGACTGACAGGGCCAAACCAACAGAAGAAGAGACCATTTCAACAGGAATATTGGTCAACAGTAGCCAATGCTGTCCAGTGTGAAGAGCAGATTTCACTCTACATAGTGTTCTACCAGATGAATGTATGATTATTTGTTTAACCAAATCCCTATTGATGGACATTTGTTTAAAATTTCCCCTATTATAAATAAAAGTTCAGCAAAGCCTAATCTTTTTGTAGACATCTGAATAATTACTTGTAGTATACTTCTAAAATTTTATTAATAGATACTAACAAATAACTATTTCAGGAGAGCCATGCCAATTTAAGTGTCTAGCAGCTGTGGGTAATGATTATCTCTTCAAGTTTATAGAAGAATCATGGTATCTCTTGGCTCAATGTTTTTTGTTTTTGCTTTCTAGTAAGATACAATATCTTTATGTGTGTTTTGGCAATATGTATATTCTTTTTTGCAAACTGCCTTTGAATGTTCAATTTTCTCCAATGGATTTGTTAAGAGTATTTCATATACTATTTAAATTAATCTTTGTAACATATTAAAAATAGCAATTTCTTTCAATTAACCTCTTTAATTATTTTAGTGTAAGATGCAAAGTAAAAAATCATTTATTTTTCTCAACCAAGTAGCTCATCAACTGTCCCAGAGCCATTTATTTCTGAACTTACTGGAAAACTCATCTGTACATTAATAATAATCAAACTATTATTGGGGTACTTGAATATATGTCTAGTCCCTGATCTTTCTAATAGTAAAATTTGAATATTTCACTCACCTGCTTAAATCCTTCAGTTGCTCTACATAGACATCAAAATAAGATACAAACTCAAAATTATGGGACACAGGGCCTTTCATGATCTGGCCACTGCTTGGATTTTTGCTTCCTCTCTTCCCCAAGACAGCCACATCCCCTGTTACTCAGTATGCTCCTCTGCTTGCCTACAGGGACCTTCTCCACCGTCACCCCACATCATTTATCCAGTTCATTCCTACTCATCCTCTATTAAATGTTTCTCATTTTTAAAAAATTGTACCTCGACAATACACACATACACACAATCTCCCATGCCATTTATTTACTTTTTACCAAAGCACTCATTATAACATACCGTAGTTATTTGTAGTTGTTTGAATTGAAAATCCCAGGTGCTAAAATGTGGTATTCTTTGGTAGATGGCCAATGAATTAATTCTAATCTAATAGTTAGTCTACTCTGTTAAATGACTCTCTAGGCACCGAAAATTACACAAAAATAACAAATCTCTGTTTCTGCCTGAACTTACTTATAATTTACTTGAGATTTGTGCTTTTTAAAAAAGGTAAATGAGGACCAATAGCCATGCAATGAGTTCCTTAAAAATCCACATGCAAGTGTAAATTTGATGACAAAAGAAGCTTTAATTACTAAATGCACTAAAATATAACCCATACATGTGAAATATCAGACAAGAAAAATGATAGTAAATCACCTAATGCAGTATCTTCCTACAATTTAATCCCTTGCTTGGCTTCCATCTCACACCTTACATCCATCTCTAGAAACAAAAATCAAACTGTCTGGAAGTCATTCCATTAGTGTTTTTAAATACTTTGGATCCTCACTTGGAAATCGCCCACATTTTTAAGTGACACAATACTTTGACAGATAGTAGAAGAGATCTTCTTACTTGGTACACTTGTTCTGATCCAACCTTCCTAGAGTGCCTGTTCAGTTTCAAACAAGTTTCATTAAATATTGAAATATTGAACATTCCATCATCTCCTAAGAGGTCTTCTTCTAAAAGATAAGAGAACATATGGAAAGACTGCATCATCTTAGCAAAACATATCATGGCTAAGTAGAATTGAAACCCTCACTCCTTAAGAGAGCCAACAGGGTGTTTAACAGCAAGAGCATTATATTTGGCTTCAAGTCCTGGCTCTATAACTTCTTAACTGCATGACCTTAACTAAGTCACCTAACCCCTCTGAACTTCAGTTTCCTTATTTGCAAAATCAAGTGATCCAGTTTGCTTTTCTTACATCACAGGCTGTTGAGAGAATCAAATAAAATAATTCATATTTTTAAATCACTGTAAATTAATAAAGCTGTGATATTTTTAGGAAGTTGCTCCTATCACTTGGAGAGCCCATAGTAAAATGTCAAGAAAGTAAGTGTGTCAGAAGCCAGAGAGCCTGAGAATAAGGAAAAAAGTGAATAAAAGTCAAAGGCCATGGGTTAGAACTTTCTGAGTAGGTGTTTCTCTCCTAGATGATAACTAGAAAGTAGACAACCAGACACGATGTTTGCTCTCACAGCAGACAGTATTTCAAGAGCTACTCAGATGAGGACTAAGGCAGCAAAAGAGAGAGCAGACTTATTTCAGCCATGGATAGAAAGGTAATTTCATGCCTCCTGCAGTCTAATTTATTCCTTTAATGTTCTATTTCCTTAACATAGTCAAAAAGACAAGGTTTGTTAACAATGAATAAAGAACGGACAGAGAATCCAGCCATACCAAGCTCATTTTCAAGGAAAAGCAAATTTCCTAACAAATAAGCCTGGGCATTTTCCATAAGTGACAAAAGCTTAAATGTCTATCAGAGAGGATTCTTTCATAATTACCTTTTGTGTGTGTTTGTCCCATAGGAGTCTTTGCTACCCAAGAAGTAATTACGATAACAATAAATTATTCCATTCAGAATCAGAATTACTCTGAAAACTGCAAGACACTCATGAGAGAAATTAAAGAAGACACCAATAAATGGAAATACATCCTGTGCTCATGGATAGGAAGAAGTAATATTGTCAAACGGCCATCCTGCCCAAAGCAACCTACAGATTCAGTGCACTCCCTATCAAAATACCAACAGCATTCTTTAAAGAACTAAAACAAATAGTTCTAAAATTCACATGGAACCACAAAAGACCCCGAATAGCCAAGGCAATACTGAAAAGGAAGAACAAAGCTGGGGGGATTATGCTTCCTAACTTCAAGCTCTACTCTACAAAGCTACAGTAATCAAAACAATTTGGTACTGGCACAAGAACAGACCTACAGATTAATGGAACAGAAGAGAGATCCCAGATATAAACCCAAGCATATATGGTCAATTAATATATGAAAAACAAGCCATGGATATACAATGGGGAAATGACAGCCTCTTCAACAGCTGGTGTTGGCAAAAATGGACAGCTACATGCAAGAGAATGAAACTGGATTATTGTCTAACCCCTTACACAAAAGTAAACTCAAAATGGATCAAAGACCTGAATGTAAGTCATGAAACCATAAAAATCTTAGAAGAAAACATAGGCAAAAATCTCTTGGACATAAATATGAGCAACTTCTTCCTGAATACATCTCCTCGGGCAAGGGAATCAAAAGCAAAAATGAACAACTAGAACTATATCAAACTAAAAAGCTTCTGTACAGCAAAGGACACCATCAGTAGAACAAAAAGGCATCCTACAGTATGGGAGAACATATTTGTAAATGACTTATCCAATAAGGGGTTAACATCCAAAATACATATAGAACTCACACACCTCAACACCCAAAAACAAATAACCCAATTAAAAAATGGGCAGAGGATATGAACAGACATCTCCAAAGAAGAAATTTGAATAGCCAAGAGGCACATGAAAAGATATTCCACATCACTAACCACCAGGTTAATTTAAGTGCAAATTAAAACCACAATGAGATATCACCTCACACCAGTTAGGATGGCCAGTATTGAAAAAACTAAGAAAAACAAATGCTGGTGAGGATGAGGAGAAAGGGGAACCCTTCTACACTGCTGACAGGAATGTAAGCTAGTTCAACCATTGTGGAAAGCAATATGGAGGTTCCTCAAAGAACTAAAAATAGAAATACCATTTCACCCTGGAATTCCACTCCTAGAAATTATCCAAAGAGAACAAGAACCCTGATTCAAAAAGACATATGCACCTTTATGTTTATCACAGCACTATTTATAAAAGCCAATGTATGGAAGCAACCTAAGTGTCCATCAGTAGATGAATGGATAAAGAAGATGTGGTACATATACACAATGGAATATTATTCAGCCATAAGAAAAAAATTCTACCATAAGAAAGGGTATTATGCTCAGTGAAATAAGCCAAGTACCAAATGATTTCACTCATTTGTGGAGTATAACAACAAAGCAAAACTGAAAGAACAAAACAGTAGCAGACTCACAGACTCTAAGAAGGGACTAGTGGTTACCAAAGGGAAGGGGTTGGGAGGTGGGTGGGTGGGGAGAGAGGGAGAAGGGAATTAAGGTGCATTATGAGTAGCACACATAATGTAGGTAGATCACTGGTAAGGCAGTATAGCAAGAAGACAAATGACTCTACAGCATCTTACTACACTGATGGACAGTGACTGCAATGGGGGGCAGGGACTTGATATGGGTGAATGTTGAAACCACAATGATGTTCATGTGAAACCTTTGTAAGATTGTATATCAATGATAATTTTATTTTTTATAAAAAGATTGTCTATCAACGATACTTTAATTTTAAAAATTGGCACATGCATACATGTGATTTTGAGACACACCTCATACATACGTACATAAACACATGTATGTAAGAAATACCACACACAGGATATATCTGCTCAAAGCAAAACATAAAGCAGAAGTACTGTCTGCATATTTTCATTTTGACATGATTTTCCCACTTACAGACGTTAGAGTCTGAATTCAGCGGAAGATGGCAATGTGAACAAAGGCATCTGGCTCCTACTTCCCACTCCCAATCTTGACAGAAGTGCCTAGGAATAGTATAAATGGGTCAAAATTTGCATCTAGGTTGGAAAGGAGGGTTGGCTGCCATACACAAGACTGAAATATGAAGATATTTCTGCCTTGCACGGTGTGGAATAGACCAGGCAAAGAGAAGACACTGAGAGCTATTGCAGAGTGTGCCTTCTCCGCAAAGTAGCCTGGATACACTGAAAGGCAGGGACCGGGGAGGACTGGGGCAGAGAGAGGTGGGGGCTAGAAGCAAGGACAGGCCCCGGGACAAGTAAGTGACGGGCGCTCCATCTGGAGCCATTCAGCCCAGTGGCTCCCAATTCTACTTGCACATCAGACACAGCAGATGGAAAGTAAAGCTTGGACAGCTGTATTTTTTTTAATTCACCAGGCAATGCTGATAGGCAGCTAGGGTAAAAAGCAGATGTAGAACCATCACCACTGCTACTAGAAACAATAATAACCATCCCTCCCTGGCACACTGGAGATCAGTAACTGGGAAAGACTTCTAAGGGGAGGCTTAGGGACCTGGAGGTTCCACCTGACAGAGAACCCAGGTGGTAGAAGGAGAGACATAGTTCTTTCCTGTCTCTGTAGGATACAGCATCATAACAAGCCTGGCAATGCTGAGCTGGCCCAAGAGAAACAGCTTCACCCATCAAGGTAGCAAAGTGCTCAGAAATAAAGCTCAGGGCAGCGGGTTTTCTCACAGCTGTTCCCCAAAGGATGCTAGATCATCTAACTCACAGTAAATCCTTCAAGATGAGATCTGAGTCAAGCATACTAATATTATCCAATAAAAGTAAGATCAAAGGGAATTCCATCTATTTTATTATGAGGGAAATTTCAGACCCAGATAAAACTTTCATCTTCCAAGGATAAGTAACCCAGAAGCAAAAAATAATAATAATAATAATAATAAGCCTATGAAATGACTCTATGAAGAAGAGGGAGATCGTGCTTAAGAGGCAAAGAATGAACATACTTTTGAAAAAAAAAGACTGAGCAAGTAATGGTAAAGTTAGGCAACATCTGTTTTGTACTTTCAGTAAAAAAACTTTGAAGATGGTTTCAAACAGATACAGGATGAGATAATAAGAGGATGCAATAGTGGAGAGGAAACTGGTTGAGAGGCAGAAATAAAAAGGGAACTACAAGGCAAAATACCAAAGGAAATGAAAGTGCAACAACAGAATTTAAAGAGCCTTAGGAATAGCAAAGACCAGAAATGTCGATGCAGATGCAGATGTGCATAATACAGAGAACAAACTACTAATTCACAGAAGGCAGAGGGACAGGACAAGGATGCAAATAAGGAGAAAATGGAAGACTAATGCAGACAGGCAAGAAATTCTACATAGGAGTAGTTGAAGAGCAAAAAAAAAAAAAAAAAAGCAACAGAGATTTAATGAAAGAGAATGTTTCTAATATGTAGGTAGACCAAAATCTCAAAATCCAAAAACTTCGGTGAAAACCATTAACATTTCTATCATCCACGACTAAAGTTTCATGAGGAAGGATTTCTATCTTGGTCAGTATTGAATTCCCAATGTCCCAAACAATGTCAGACACATAGCAGGTGGTCAATAAACATTTACCATGTGCACAATAAACGACTGAAGTCTTGAATTTCACAGTAGAGGAGGTCTCTTTGAGGTTCAGGCTGAAAAATCAGATTATCTAAATAGGATTTTTTTTTAATTATACTTTCTTCAAATTCCTCTTTCAAATTTTAATTCCCAAAGCCAAAGGAAAAAGCCTCCAGAATTCAGACAACAAAGGTTATAGTAACAGCCCAGGAATTTTATCTTCAATCAAACTCTCCTTCATTGTGAAGACAATAAAAAGACATTCTCAGATAATCATGGCTCAGAAAGTATCCCATTCTCCAGTGTGGAAAAGACAGAAATCATTGTGTAAAATAAAAATATAGAAAAAACAGAGAAATTTGGTATGAAAGAATTGGTAGTAAGAATTGAAACTATTTAACATATACCTGTTTAACTAAGTGTTATAAATGTTATAAATCAATATAAAAATGAACTCTTTAAAAATATAATACAAGTTTAAAATAATTAAAAATAATAAGCTGGGGATAAAATGCCATATTAAACCAATAACATAAGGGAAGCAAAGAATGCTGACTTCCTTATCTTGTTCAGGAAGAAGTTAACATTATTTCAGTCTTACCACTGACAATCAGAGAAATGCACATTCAAACAGGATTTTGTTTTTTAATGCATAATGAAATACAAGCAAAGCCTATACTCTCTGAATCACTGAAAAAGAAAATCTGTGTAGCAAAAAGATAGAAAGCAACGGTCATAGCAAAATACCATAAAAAAGAGGGGAAAAATAAGATGTCAGAAGAACAAACACTAATGTAAATTGGTTAACCTTGTCTACTCAAAAATAAAACTTTTCTCAGAAAGGTTCACAACATACTCTGTCTCCGAGAGTCTGTCTACAGCAATGTTATCCCAATAGCATGTAAGAACAAAAGTGGCCAAAGATATGTCATGCAAATAGAACCAAAAAGAAATCAAGAAAACCACTATTACTATCAAAGTATAATTCAAGGGAAAAAATATTAAACAGGATAAAGTGACCCATTTGTTATTAGTGAAAATCAGAGTCTACAACAAGGTATTAGTCATGAACATAAATATCATAACATCAACATGTGTGAAACGAAACAATTAGAATTTCTAAGAGAAAATTTTAAAAATGGCAATCCAAGTAATCAATAAACAACAATAACAAAACAGAAGTCCTATATTATCTTATCTATAGAATTGATTTAAGACTAGATCTTACTCTATTTACTAGCCAGCATACTACTATCACAAAACTTTGCCAAGTATTAAGCCCCAAGAAAATGTTAGTAAAGCCCCCCAAAAGAATATCAAATTTAATCAAACTAGAAATTAACAACAAAAGCGAAGATAAAGAGAACATATATTAACACACTCATAAGTAATTCTTCGATCAGAGAGAAAAATCAGAATAGTAATTATGTCATGCCTTGAAAGTAAAGATAAAGAAAACATGTATCAGTGCCTAAGGAATTCTGCCAATGCTCAAATCCAGAAGGGAGAAACTTATTATCAAGTAAGAAAGAATGGAAATAAATTGCATTATGCATTCAACTCAAGAATTTAGTTATAGAACAATATAACCAACTCAAGCAAGGAGAAGGAAATAATAAAAATAAGGGGGGAAATTAATAAGATAAAAAAAAGAAAAACAATTTAAAAACCCAAGAGTTTATTCTTTGGAGAAAAGCACAATAAGAAAACAGGCAACCCAAGCTAAGCTAATCAATTTTTTTAAAAGAGAGAAAAATATAATTAGGAATCAGAATAACCTAGGGTTATATAACCTATAATTGCAGAGGAGTACTAATCAAATATTCCATATGATATTCTGCCAGTATACTTAGAATCACAACCCAATGGACATTTTTTTAAGGAAAATATAAACTATAAAAAATTGACTCAAGAAAATATAGGAAACATAAGCAGACAAATAAAACTAAAAATATATATTATAATAATATAATAAATATGTCATACATAATATATAAATATAATAAATACATAATATTTACAGTAAATATCTATATTTGCTTATGTTAAATATCTATATTTAAATATAGAAAAAAAATTTTAAATAAAATAAATTGACAAAGATATCAAAGAATTATCTCCCAAAAGGGTGAAACTGAAATGATCTTATGAGCAAATGTGTTCAGCTTTAAAGGAAGGGGAAAATTTCAAAGTGATATAAACTTTCCCAGAGCATAAAAATTATGGAAAAATTTTCAATTCATTTTAAGAGAACTAGCAGAATGCCAATAATGAAACAGACAACTATATGTGCAGGATCTGGAGGAAGAGAATGGGAAATCTTTGCAACAATGCATATAAACAAACAGGAAAGACAAAACTTGAATAGATATTGAATAAATGTAGAAATGTACCTTGTTCCAAGTTGGGATGATTCAATATAAACCCCAATTTTCTCCAGATTAACTTGCAAACTTAATCCAATTCCACTTAAAATTTCAGACAGAAGAAAGAAGTCTGGAGACAATAAAACGCTCAGCCGTGGGTCAACCCAGCTCTTCAATGCAGAGTTAAGATACAAATCCAGGTCTTTCTGACCCCAAAGACCATGGTTTTTCCCAGTGGAAATTTATTTGAAGGGGTAATTGGATATTAGTAAAAACAGCTGACACTGAGCAACAAGCTGTCAGTCTGAAGGAACAGTGACAGATGAGTTTGAAGTCCTGGGATGACCCTTTAAAGAAGACATATTCCTAACAAATCCACGGCAGTGTATCATTAATTTTGAACAAGTTTCTCTAATTAGTCACCATATTAATTTTACAATATCTTTCCCCTACACATCATTTACTTAGAAAGAAATCATATTGTTTTACTTATATACAGGTACCCTGGGACCTAATTTGTATAATTTCATAGTTGGTTTTATATTGTTAAGAATGCAGATTTTTTTATTATTCCTGCCAGATCTGTGTCATTTCCCAGTTCCTAATGGCAGCAATACCTGGAAGCTGAGGTGTATTCTTAAGAGGGACATCAAACAGCTAGTTGAGAACTACCTTAACTCCCCCAAAATAACAAATGACACCAATGGCTTCTCAAGGTTTGCATACGAGGTATTTAATTAGTCCTGACACCCCTTTAACAAAATTACAGGGGAAAAACTTATGGTAATTGTCACAATGTTATTATAAAAATCCATGTGATTTTGATCAAAAACTATGTGCTTCTTGAAGCTCTTTGGCTACCTTCCATTGGCTTGGATAATTGAGAACTGACTGCATCACCGCTAATGCTCCCCTCCTTTGAATGCCTCCTTATTACCTTCCACTTGAACCAGACGACCCAGCTGAGAAGCAGTCCATCAGTGCCCATTCAGCCTGCCACCAAGAGGACAGGACTCTCTCCCGCTAGACCTGCTCTGGTTCTGACCCCTGAAGCAATTACACCCTCCTAACTACAAATCTCAGAAAGCAACTATGAACTCTCTTGCCCGGTTGACTCATCCATGTCCCCACATGCTGTGCTTAGCATTTCCCAGGAGGAAGGGAGACTTCATCTCCACCTACCTGCTGTCTGGAACCCAATGACGGCCGGCACAGAGTGTGTAGGAGGGGCCGTGGAAATGCTCATGGTGTAGTTGGTGCCTTGGTACAGGTCTAGGCACACTTCTGGGGTCCTGCTGGCTGTGGTCAAGTTGACTGTCTCCTCATGAACTGATGCCACAGTGTCCAGGCGCTGTCCTTTTATGTGTATCTTTGTGAGGGGAGAACACAGGAGAACCCAGTATCACTCCAGTTAATACAGCTGAGAAAGACTTGGGGGCGCTGGACCCTATTCTCCTACTATTTCCTTTTCTACTGCACTGTGCACCCAGGGGAGAGAAATAAGTAACCCTCTGCTATCAGATATCTGATCATTAATTCTGATCAGCTCACTAATCAATAAATCCTAAGAAGTGACATAAAATGAGGAGGCTCCCTAGGGAGTGCTATCCTGCACACAAATGACCAGCGATCAAGAGAGGCAGCCACAATCTGAGAACCAGACTCTACATCCTGTCACCAAGTCAGCAGATGCTTCCAGGCTTACTCTGGGGGAGTGAAATACAAGTGCTTGGAAACAAGCGATAATGATGATGCCAAATATAAATATATCCCCCACACATACATTCTGTCGAATGACAAATATATCAAACACAAAATATACAATAAAATAACCCAGAACATCTTTAAAATTCTGATCATTTATTGAAAGAACGATGGGACTGGAAAGCAATTAGGTCAAAAAGTTCTTATGGAAGCAAATCCCTCCAACTCATGTTCCTGTAGGACACCATTTCTGCCCCAGCAGGACAAAGTAAGTGATGTCACTTACCACATAGACAATCCTGGAGTTTATTCTTCCTGGATTTACTTGCCACCTCACACAGGTGTTATTAAACACAGATACATCATTAATTTCTGTAATTATTTCTAAAATAAGAAAAGAGAGAGTCCACTCACAAAATGCATCAATGGACTTTGGAAAAATCCTAATGGCAACCACACTGGAGGGCACAACAGCCTAGCTCTCAGGTGTCTCTGCAGATCATCATTCGTGCTCTGATTCAGAAACCAAGGCAGGCAATTCAAACTGCCCCAGGCCATTCACCCAATGTATCCTCATCATGAATGAGCCTGACCCCATTACCTGACCGGAACGAAAAGGGAGGATTCCCACTTGAGGATGAGTAAGAATTCCAAACTGTGATGGGTCTGGCAGGTCACTAGATGCCACTAGTGTTCCACCCAGGTGGGATGGAAGGAGGCCAAGCAGAGCCAGACTCCACCCTGCAGCTTCACAGGTGGGTCCCACCCAAGTCCAGCCTCCTCATCCCACGGGGCTGACGGGGCACTCTGATCTCCAGGTCACTGCTGTTCCCAAAAGGGAAGTGACCGGCATCGCCACAGAGCACCACTCCTCAGAAGCAGCTTGTGGTAAACTAAACAAATTCTCCACAGGCCCCTTGATACTTCTGGGGCCCCTTTAACTGAAGCTGTTCTATCCAGACTTATCAGGAAGCCACTTTCTTTCCACTGTTCTGCTGCTTTAAAACTTTCTGTGTGTATTTCATATAATAAATGTGGCAACACGGGAAACACATGAGGGCCTCTGTTCCCTATGTAACGGTTTTTCCACTGAACCAAGGAAGCCACCCAGGAAGTTGTTGAGATGGGAAGAGGGCAAGATTCTAAGTTTTTATCTCTTAAAGTCAAATTCCCTAAAGATAAGTAAAACCATCTCTACCTGCACATAACATAATCCTGTCTATAAAAAAGTCCCCAGGAGATAATCCTTTCCTCAGTTTCTCTCATTTACTGCCGGGCCCAAGGAAATGGGATCTGTTAGAGGAGGTTTTTAAATAATGATGGTTACTGTTGTTAAGTCTTCCTAAAAGCCTCAAGAAAAATTTCTTCTCAAGCTTCCTCCTACCTCTACACAAAGAAAGGATGGAAGAATTCTTCTTAGTCCTTTATCTCCCTCAATGTCTAACATAGTGTTTTGTATACAATAGGTACTTAATAAGTACTTTTTAAAAATTAAAAAAAAAAATCCCCAGGAATTCATAAAACAAAACAAAAACTACAGAGCTAAGAAAGGAGCTAAGCCAGGCTGTAGGATATAAGATCTATGTACAAAAATAACATGTATTTCTGCACACCAGCAAGGAACACTGTAAAAATGAAATTAAGAAAACAATTACACTTAAAACAGCACCACACACACACACACACAAAAATGCCTTGCAGACAGAAGTTACCATACTATCGTCGCTGGTATCACCGAACAGGAATATTCCTCAGCCCAGATTCAAGCTCTCCCATTGACTCAGAAACCCCCTATGGATGCTTTAGAACCTCTCAGCCTCTCCTGTTCCTGTGCCAGCCCTGCAGGGGATTTGACAACGACCCCGTCCTGTCTCCTGGGGCTTCCCTGCTGCACACGCAAGCATGTGCAGCCTCAAGTGTGTGGCAAGGAACACCTCCTGAGGACAGGAGATAGGAGACAAATCTGCCCCATTTCTTGGCTCCCGCCCCCACCCCACCGCCAATGAAGGGCAATCCTACAAAGACGTCAGGGTGTCTTGAGTAAGCCCAGGTCAGATACCAGTAAGTGAGAATAAATGGAGGCAGAGAGAGGCAAACACGTGACCTCCTGGAGAGACCCCAGAGGATCACCTGTGATTGTCTAAAGCATTCTGGGGTCTCTACAGCAATACCTCTCCCCAGAGCAGAGATCATTAAAATCAAAGAACTACTCCCATTGTAGATACAGGTACCCTAAGAGATGCCAAGATCCTATCCATTTACCTTCTTGGATAGCATAAAGGTGGTACTGGCCCCAGTCTTCTATCAGCTTGAACAAGGCCCAGTTACTCATGGCCATTCCCTCTCCACCGCCCTTCAAAGCCCAGAGCTCTGGACCTCCTCTGCTCATTCACACATCCCTCTGATACTAACTCACAACTTGTCCAGAAGGAAAAGGAAACAACCCATCCCTACCTTCTCTCTGGGTTGCCAAGACAGCAAATTTCCTTCGTACTCGGGACCCCTTTGCCATCCAAGCAGAGATTGGGAAGGAGACATGAAAGTTTCCTTTTTTGTCATTCACTATGACAACTGCAAATGACATCTCAAAAATGCCATCTGCTCCACCCAGTGCCAAGCTCTCTGCACAGATGGGACCCAGATCTGATTATGGGATGTCACATATTTCATCCCAAGAAGCAGTTAAACGAAATTTGGTTGCTTTTCCCTCCAGGTGTCTACCAATCAGCTGGAAAGACTTGATAAAGGAATCAGATATTAAACATTCACATTAATGCTGCCTTTTTAAAAGAGATGACTTGGGAGACCACACCCTCATTCCAATGGTACTGGTGACTGAAAACGTTTCTGGAAGGTCTCTTTGGAACTGGCTCTTGTGGGCTCGTTGTTCGCCGCGTATGGGACAATTTCTGAAAGCCAAGCCCCCTCCATGCTGAGCACTGGGCTGTGATGATGATCAGAACAGAAGTCCTTCCCTCAAGAATATGTTGTCTACTGGGGAGAGCAAACATATATGCAGGTCAATTGCAACTCGATCAGAATTAGAACCAAGTCACACATCACATAAGTACTGCTGAGTATAGAGAAAGGAGCCACCGACTGTCCCTGGAGGGCCTGGGGAGGCTGGCCTCACGGCAGGCATCACCCTGATGGCCAAACAGCTGCAGAGCGGGGAAGACATCCCCCGGACACACAGCAGGCCTGGACTGCAGACTCAGAGCCGTCGCAGAGAAGAGTAGGGAGGTGGGGAAGGGAGGCTGCAGATGGACGGCAGGGGCAGACTGGGAGGAACCCTGCTTCTCAGACTAAGTGAAGACTTAACTGGAAAGCGAAAAGCAGGAAGATGATGGAAACGTTCATGTTCAGAAAGATAACTCTGGCGTATTTGGAAGGAGACACTGGAGTACAGAGGAACTGGAGGACCCGAGGAGAGAAACGACACCCTTTATTCAATGGTCACAGTATGCCAGACACAGTGAGAGAGGTCTTTAGCCTTGATCTCATTTCACAGCAGCCATAAGCGGCAATAATACGATCAATAATGAGTGAACATTATTTTCACTCATTTCACTATTTTCAATGAGGAACTGGGTTATGACTATGGACAAGAGAGTACGTATAGTACTTTAAATGGTTCATTTATTTAATCTTTAAAATAACCCCATGATAGTCATTTCACAATACATGTGGATCAAACCATCATGCTGTATGCCTTAAATGTGCACAGTGATGTATGTCAGTTATTTCTCAATAAAATTAGAAAAAAGTTAATAAATTTAATTTTAAAAATATATAATCCATGAGTTTGATACTATTGTGCCCATTTTATAGACCTGTAGCTTAAAAAAGTAACTTGCCAGAGATCACTCAGCTGGTATCAGCAGTCAAGTCAGAATCCAAAACTCAGTGTATCAGACTCCAAAGCCAAGAGCCTTTGCAGTGCAGCAGGTATTCATCAGAGGTGAACAGAGGAAATCAGAGCACTGTTATTAAAACCACGAGACAATGCTGTAGGAGAAGCAATAGGGCATGAGAGACCAGGAACAGTGGGAATGCTGGCTGCCAGGCTTTGAGAAACTGAGTGGATTGCCTTTTATTGTTCTCATAAGAAATATAGGAGGGAGCAGACCGGGTGTGTGAGAAAGAGCAATGAAGTGTGTTTAGGACACGCTAAAGAGGAGTTATCTACAGGCCTGCCAAGTGAACAAATAGTCTTGAGAGTCATCAATGGTAATTGACAACAATTAAAGTTATGGGTGCTGATGAAACATCTGCATAGGACACATGACAACCAGAACCCTGGGAAACCCCAAGACCTCAGGGGCATGTAGAGGAGAAAGAGCAATACGGAAGACAGGTAGGAGGTTGGCTGAGAGAGTGGGAGGCCTAGGAAGTCAAGGACAGAGAAGATTTGAAAGAGTCGGCTTCCTCAAAAGTTATCTCCCTTCCTTCCAACCAATCTCCCAATTTCCCTCAACCTCTTTACTTCCCTTCCAAGAAGGGCCTGGAGCAGGTCATGAAGGCGCTGGGGGCAAGGTCAGCCTCTCTTCTCTCATACGGCTTTCTCCCCTGACGGGGTGCCCACAGGACCACAATCAGGTCTGAAGTCTGACCTTGGGTAGAAGTAGAGCAGGCCCTTGGCTTGCCCGGTTGTAGGACACTTTGGCATCTCTGGCTTTAAAAAAAGGAAGCTCCCCATGGTGTGTATGTGAAGTCTGCACTGGATATGGGGAACCGAAGCCTCAGTGAGTAAAGTTTAATACCTTCGTTTTGCTTTAGATTCCATTTGTGGTGCATGTGTGTGCATGCATGTGTGTGTGTGTATTTAAATGTACATATATTTGTAAATTTATGTCTTTTAGTATTCTAATACACATAATATACATACCTTCATCTCTCTCTGATATGCACACATGTATCCCTCCTAAATGTAAGTTCTATGGTGGCAAAGACCAGGCTTATCTGTCTATCCCCAGAGCCTAATACAGTGTCTTGGACATGGATATTTTTAAGATATTTATTATTTGGTTGATTGACTGAATAGGTGGATGAATGCATAGGTAGATGAATGATGCGAAATGTTGTGGAAAGGTTAACAGGAATGAGAACTGAGACTAAAAAATGAAGTTGACGCTTAGATGGTCATAAGTGACCTTGGTGAGAGAACTACAGTGAAGTGGAGGTACTGGATGCCTGATTCTCTTTCAGCAGGCTGAGAAAAGAGTAGGACTGAGCATAGCCTACTCTTTCTGAAGCCCCACTGTGGGTTGGGTTTGGTCTAGCATACTCTCCTGGTTTCCAATTGCACATCCTTTCTCTTTATTTCTGCAAACAGTAAAAGGTCATCCATAAATTCAGGTGAGTTATCTAAAGGGCCAAACTCAGTGTCATTTCTAGTCAAAACCAGTATCTGATTTCAAAAATAACATGACTGGTCTTCCAATATGACTCATAAACTGCTTCCAACGGCAATTCCTAAACCTAAACAGAGATTATAAAACAGACACCTTTGATAATAGCAGCATGATTGAAATGAGGGTATGGCTTCCCAAGGTCACTACTTTACTTTGCATGTTTGGCTATAAATGTCCTGCTATGTTTCCTTTTTTTTTTTTTAATCTTTAGAATCACAAAAAAAGGTAGAAATAGCATGGCTTAGAGTAGTACTTTCCTAAAATGCATTATATACTTTAGAATGATTTCTGGTGGCATGAATAAATTGTTACATGTTCCTTTTGTATTGATTTTTGCATAAATTAGAAAAAAGTACACCATGTTCCTCAAATTCACAATATCACACATATTACCGAGTGTTCCTTGATCGATAAATTTGAATTATAAGTTATAACTATAAGTTGTTTTAAGAAACATTTTAAGTACATACTTTGTTATGGCAAACACTGTCAGGGTGCTGTACATATAATCTGAGCCTGGGAAACACTGGTAGAGATCATGAGCTTTCCAGGCCTACAGACCTGGGTTCAAATCCTCTCCCTGCCATTTCCTAGTTACTGAATGACCCCTGTGAAAGTTGCTCAACTTTTATGAGTCTCACATTACTCATTTGTGAGATGAAAATAACAAGACCTACTTCACAGGATTTTTCTAAGGGCAAGTCCTGTGAAAGTTGCTCAACTTTTATGAGTCTCACATTACTCATTTGTGAGATGAAAATAACAAGACCTACTTCACAGGATTTTTCTAAGGGCAAGCTTTAAGGCCCCTAGCAGAGCCCGGGGCATGTAAGTTGGTGTGCAATGAAAAGTTGCTTTAATGCTTGACAGTCCAAACGTTAGGCACATATTCAAACAAATCCCAGCCATGTGGCTGTTTAGATCAATGTGTCCATTTATTTCAACTGACCTTTCTTTTCCTTCTGAAATGTGTAGAGCTGCAACTGAGCACTCACTGGGCTGAAGAGGAGGATCAACAACACAGAAGAGACAGGCGAATGGGGGGCCTGGAGCATTTGGACTCAGAGCTTGAATCAGGTGAAGAGACTCAGAAAGTTTCCCAGCAAATAAACAGTCTGTCTTTCAATAGAGATGTCACCCTTCTAAGGGCATGCAGTGAGTGTTAACCTTATAATTATTAACTCAAGATTCTAAACATAAAAAGCCAAATGACCTGTGGAGAATGAAAGCTGAGGACAGTCTTATCAAGAATGAATCAGCCTCTTTGATCTTAAGGTAAACCAACTCACTAACTCTCAAGCTTCCACCTGGGGGTTTTCCAGACACTAAAGTGGCTGCCTAATTCTCAGCTGTCTGGAGTTTCCGGTCCAAACTGGCCTGAAAAAAAAATATCTCACCACCTTGCTCCAGTTCACGCCCCTTTCAAAACATACCCAGCTCCATACTACTAATCCAGAGAAACAGGGGCTCCAAAAATATGGCTCACTAAAAACAAGCCTGGTGAAGAAAATTATTCCACCCAACTGGGAACTAAACTTTCAAGTATAAAAAGAGGGGTAAACACGATGAAAATAGAGAAGAGAGATAACAGGCATTCAGAGGTTAGGCAGAAAAGTAGAAGATGGGGAGAAAACCCAAAAGTGAACACTGAGGGAGGTAAATACAAAAGATCCACAGGGAGATAACACACAGGGAGGATCCTGTGAGGAACTGGGGGAGCAAACGGGGGCAGCTGAGGAGAAGCCATCCTAGTCAGCCATCTCTCACTACATTTCCGGAAGCCTCTCCTACCTCCCCACCCAGCAATCCTGTGTGCAGCAGGAGGAACTAATCACCATGTAAATCACCCCCTTTATCTGCTGAAATTGAATTTAGCTGCCAGTCTTGATTGAGGGCATGGAGGCCTCCTCACAGAAAGATCACAGCTCTCAGAGAGAATGCCTTTCCTCTTCTTAAATCAAAGCTTGCCTAAACCCTTGGAAACAGCTGCAGCTGGAGGCACAGACTTTGCGAAAGGTGGCAGGCTGAGGATGGTAATTATAATTAGCAGTTACATAACATGTTTGTTCTTCAAAGTGCTCTACCAGCATCAGCTAATTAATAGCTTACTATGCCCCATGCAGATCCACTGGTTTTTCATGTCGTGACTAATCCTGGCACCCCCACTGAATTCTGAATAGTGGAGGCAGAGCCGCTTGAGCAATGAAGCAAATGGCTGAGGGTCCAGAAGCTATGCCCAGCTCTCTCACCAAGGGACTCCATAGGTAGCTCTGCGCCAAGAACATTTCCCCAGATGTTGTATTCAGCATCCTATAAGACAGCTGCCTCACTTCCTCCACTAACTCTTAGAGGTGCTGTTAGAGATGAAATAACAGGCTGAAATGACCATCAGTCTGGTCCAATATGGCATTAGCTCTTCTCAGTTTTCCCAGTTATAAAGAGTGGTATCCTTATGTTAATTACAGGTTGCCCTGGCTTCTCTGGGTTCTTATCCATGTCTACCCTTCTTTGTCTCTGTGATTGCAGTCTCTAGCCTCAAATCTCTTATATTTGTGGTGGAGATGACTGACTGTGAAATCTACATGGCACAAACAGGGCCTCAGCAGCAGAGCTGAGTTCTCCATCTACTCCAGGGACGCTTTACCCAAGGACCTCAGAGGTCCATGGACACCTCAGATTTGTAAAACATTATATGTATACGTGTATGTGCATTTCTTTAGAGAAACGTCTGTTTACCCTACTGCCCTGTAAATTCTAAGAATGTAGTGTCTACAGCGGAAAGTAGTGCAGAAAGGTTGAAGGGGGCAGTTTCCCTGATGATGGTGAAGCCAGGAAACCAACCCTGGACGTTCTACCTCCAAACTTCTTTCATGTGAAAAAGAGAAACAGTTATAGTTTGCATTTGGTCACTGTTATTTTGGGTTTTGTTTCTAGCAGCTGTATTTAAAAAAAAATGTAGTGTCTAGCATAGTACCTCACACATTTCAATAGGTATCTATTGAATGAAGTGATAGATTTCATCAAATTCCTATCTCTAAAATGGTCGTGAACCATTGCTCTACGGACAAATAATTACCAGCAGGCCACATATTTTGCTTGCTCTGGCTAGATCTTCCTATGGGAAAGTTTAGTTGGTAAGACTCAAGACTTTCTACCATACATCTAGGGCAAGTCAAACCAGAGACCCAGATCAAAGCCACCCTGAGATTTCCCTCTTCAGAGATCTGTCTTTAGAGCGAAGCAATGCAACATCTAGAAATACATTCCCAGAGCCATTCAAGTGATGATCATTTGTCACCCCCGCCCGCCCCCAACCAACCATCACAAATGGTAAGAATCATTGTCTTTTCCCACCTCGTTTCTCGGAGGCAGAGGTGAGAAATAAAGTATGTGGAAGTACATAGTCTTGATTCAAAAGAAGATCTTCAAGCAAGGCTAACAATTTCAGAAGTAGAAGACCTAACATATGCACAGTTCTTTAAAATTTAAGAATGCTCCCCATAGATTAAATCACTTGATCCCTTCTCAACAATTCTCTGAAGTAGGAAAAGCAGACTTTATTTTCCCCCTTTATAGATGAGGAAACTGAGGCTCTGAGAGAACAATGCCTTACTTGATGACACATAGCTAATAGATGACACTACTGGATTTGAACTGAAGTCTTAAAACTCTTTTTCACCAGTAATTCCATTTGTGGTATAGATTCAAAAGAATTAAAATCAGGGTCTCAACGAGATAACTGCACACCCATGTTCATAGCAACATTATTCACAATAGTCAAAAGGTGGAAACAACACAAGTATCTGCCAATGGATGAATGGAAAAACTAAATGTGATATAGCCACACAATAGAATATTATTCAACCTTTAAAAAGAAGGAAATCCCACCATTTGTGACAACATGGATGAACCTGATGACATTATGCTAAATGAAATAAATTAGTCACAAATTGACAAATACTACATGATTCCACATATATGAGGTATCTAAACTAGTAAACTCATAGAAATGGAAAGTATAATGGTGGTGCCAGGAGCTGTGGAAAGGGAAAAATGGGCAGTTACTGTTTAATGTGTATACACTTGAGTTTTGTGAGATGAAAAAGTTCTGGAAATTGGTTGCACAATGATGTGAACATACTTAGCACATAAAATACGGTAAATTTTATGTTGTGTGTATTTTACCACAATTTTATTTTAAAAATAAAAGTAAACATTATAAACCTCTTCATCTATTATACTACCTTTTCTCTGAAAAGCTGTCAACATGTGCTAAGTTAGGACTTTTAGGTATGTGCCTCTAAGAAAATGGTCCATGGAGAAAAATAACTCAGCCAGCCAAGCAAAGGAGACAGGAATCACTGTGATTTAAAACAAGTTTCAAAAGATGGATGCACAAAACTTTGTATCTAACTTATTTTCCAAAGCCACCCTCTGAATCTTCAGGACTTAGCTGACAAACCTAAAGCCAAATGCCTACCCAGGTAAATGGCACAGTACCCAGAATGAGCAAAAACTGGCTCTAGGTCCCCTCCTCCTGCTGGCTGTTTGCTTCCAGGATACAGGAACCCTGCGGATTGGAGTCTATACCTGTGCACATCAAAGTACTTTCTCTCCAGGTGCCTTTCTCTGTACAAACAGAAGTGATCTTTCCTCCAGGGCTCTCAAAGCCCTCTTGACAGACGTAGTGAGCCACACTGCCCAGGCTGGAGCTGGGATTCCCCACCAGGACCGCATGCTGCACTTCCGGAGGGTAGCCACAGTTGATCTCTGCAATGGGAGGTAGCACAGCACTTGTTATGGCCCGACTTCGACCCCATAATTCATATTTTAGAAATAAACATTTAGTAATGGTACAGTCCACCTATGGGAGACTAAGTCCACTAAGTCCACTAAGTCCACTAAGAGAAAACACTAACCCCATCAATTAATCCAACTGCAAGTATATAAAGTAAGATTGTTCAGAATTAGAGAAAATTGGTATGTCTGACTTTAATGAAATTTGCAAACATTTATACATAGAAAATATCCTAATTATGAGATTATTTACATTATAAAGAATTCCTTGGTCAATGAAATAATCCACCTCAGGGCCCTTTCAAACATTATGATTTTTCTGGTACCTTTTACTATGTATATTCAGATCATTAACCCCTGAGTAGACAATATTGCAACTGTAGGACTTTGGTTTCCAATAGAATATTAATATATATACAAAGTCTCTGAACTTTTTAAAGAAAATTAATGTGGAAAATAATCTAAACATTCAATTTATATGCACCTTTTAAAGAAAAATTCATTGCATAGAGAGAGAGACAAACCCAGAATTATAAAACTGATATGAAGTTTCTCCACTCTGGCTACTAGAAGCCGCTGGAACATTTACAGAGAACTATCTGAAGGAAAAGGATTATGACAATACCATTTTAGACACAGTCAAACTCTACTACATATAAGAGTAAAAGTCATTTTCAGATATTTTACAATTTAAAGAAATTCATATGTGTATCTTTTCTGAAAAGAAAGTTCAAAAATAACTCCAGTCCAACAACAACAAAAGAATCAGAAAAAATATCCTACGAAAGAAGAACAGGTTTCAGAAGAAACTCTAGGAAGCAATGATGTCCAAATAAGCCTCCATAATCATTTAAATGTGATTGTAGAGCTTGATATAACTAGCAGTAAAGGATTCTAGGACTAAAAGCAGAACAATGTAAAAATAATTTGAAAATAAAATGCCACATTTTCTCCATAAAATCTGAGCAGTGAGGTGAAAGGAAGAAATAAAACATACTAAATTTCCCTTGCAGTAGTAGCAAGGAGCTCAGATACAATTTCATTCAATGAAGTAAAATAAATATAAAGTGGCATTAATAATTCCAAAGGTAACCAAGAGTCCCAGTTGTGCCTAAAAATAGAAAGAAAAATATATATAACTATTGGCATTAATTCGATTTTTACTTTTTCCTCCCAGTCTGTACCAAGTCAAGAAAATTAAGCACTCCTGACATCCAAGCTTTTAAAACTTAAGTCCATTTACTGACATAAAGCATTCAAAATACAGAAAATGGTCTGATCTGTTTCCAACTCTCCATCAGCCATTTGTGGCCTTTGAAATAGGTGGCTTCTATGAAATGAGCTTCTGATATGGAATTGGTGTATTTAACAGAATTTCCCTCCTCTCCAATCCATGATGGATGCTGCAAGTCTGCTGCAGAGCCCCAGAGTTGTCTTCCTGAGGGGGGTGGGGGGGCCTCCCAGAGAAGGGTTTTCATCTGTTTTCACTGGCCCTGTCCTTCAGAGCCTCAATCCAACAACCCAAACCACTTGACCAGTTGCTTGGCTCTGAGATTTTTTTTTTTAAAGAGTTAGTCTCTGGTTAGTGCAGATTCAAATCATGAGCAGCTATGGGACCAGAATGAGGTGGTCATTTCATAAATCCTTCAACCCTGTCTACCTCTCAAGTCCCACATTTGCTCAAAGAGATTTATTCCCTTTTCATACGTGTTTACCATGCACAAGACCCCTTGGTCCCCGTGTTTTCCCAGCATCAAGCCCTTAGACATATTTCCTGGCCCAAAACATTCCAAGACACAAGGATATTTGCGTGTACATGAGTGACCAACCAAAAAGGGGGTTAATGTTTCACAATACTGCCCAGTCACTGTTGACATCTAAAACATCTACTTTAAGCCAGAGTTCAGTTACAGCGGGAAATGGAGGGAACATCAATGAAGAGATTGAGGGTATAGGCTTATGTAGATTTATGGACCTTGAAGCTGGGATTCTAGAGAGCACACTGAAGAAGTTTAGGGGGGAACCCAGAGACAGACAGTTAAATCAGGGGAGAGGCACAGATACTAAAGGGATATAAGTAGAGAAGACAACTAATTGGCTTCCCTCGTGGACATGAGTAAGAATAATGGAAGGCATGGTGGCTTTAGTTGAGGCTGCAAGATTTTTTTTAATTGACACCAAAAATATTAATTTGGGAGTTGATGAGCAATCAATAGCCTTGTCTCTAGGGACTAATGTTCAGAGGCTCAGGTAGATGCCCAGTGATAGGCAACCTTGAGCCATGATTCCATGAGTCCCCATCACAGAGCTATGCAATTTGGACAGTCCCTTGACAAAAGACATTTAAAGAAAATTCTAGCATGGCTTGCATTAAACACATGGTTCTAAAAAACAGCTATACATTTGAATCACTTGGGAAGCTTTTAGAAAACACACACTGGAATCTCACAACCCCTCCATCATCCAGAGATAATTCTTCTGAATCAGTAGTGCTGAGTTGGGTCCTTGGCCTGCAATCTTGCAGAACATGGCCCTGTCACAGATACTCCCACCATGCTTAAAAGAGATGTCAGCCACTGTCACTTCTACTCAGACCAATGGTGCCCAAGAAAGCATGTAGTTCCTATGAAGAAACACTCAAACATCAATCCAACAGAGGCTGTAATAGGTGGTAATAAATATGGTTATACATGAAAAGCTCCAAGCTTTCACCATCACAAGTATATAACCCATTTTAAAATGGTTTATATCTAAAGGAAAGAAAAGAAATAAGCTGCACAAAATTTCATTGCATATGCATTAGGGGTATTCGTGAAAGCACATGTTTCTCTGGCTAATTACATTATTAAGTAACAACGTTTGGCTGTGCATCAGGAATACAGTCAACTAATTATGAACATGGCTGGGAATTTTTCCTTACTGTCCCATTATCTGTGATTTTATTCAAATAATCAACTTCAAAATAAGTCTCCCTGGGAGGAAAATGTATTGTGCCGGTGTCAAGGACCACATTCATATTATAACTTTAATTCATATCTTGAAGGTAAAAATGTTTCTACACTGCTAGCTTTAATATTCTACTAAGAAAATATTCCAGAAGGAAATCAGATGAAAGGTATACGCAATTAATGGGCATCTAAGTCACCAACTGACTGTATCACCAATGTCATCTGCATTGGGTGCTGTTTATTATAAACATCAGCACAATAATGTGACTTGACTGATTACAGAAATAACATAGGAATATAAGATTTCATCTAAAGCCATTTCAGAGAGCAATAAATACAAAGCTGAGAAAGAAAAAAAGTGACCAATAATGTCTATAAGTTGAGTCAGACATTTTGCCAACTGAGGAATGAATGATAGGCCTATTCCACTTACTGATATTGACCCCAAAAAATGGTCCCAGAAAAATTAACTACTAGATGGAAAGCTCTGGCAAAACTGCAGAAACAAGTATAAAAACTGAAGAAAATCACATTGAAGTCAGTTTTCATTGTCACCCAACAACAAAAATAAGTCTCTATTGTGTCTTAGAATCATATCGGAATTCCACAGCTCCTAGAAATGAGTATAGTGTGGTAGGGTGTAAGGGACAGAGTGTAGGCAGATTAACACCAGGGTCTACACTATACTCATGTTGTGGATCAGATGATTCGGCACTCATACCTCTACTTCCTTCATCTGTTTCATTTGTAAAAATGTTCTTTTCCACCCTTACTAGTAAACTCTTTGTAGGCAGTACCTGTATCCTATATTTTTAAAATATCCCCTGTAGTCATGCAACTTATTAATATGATTATGAACATTAACCTTTGTGATGTTTATATTTAATAAATATGGCCTAAGGAATGGGGCAGACAAATGTAACCTGACCACAAGCTTCGTGCACTGTATGGTTTGCTCCAGATTTGGCCAGTAGAATTAGACCCTCATTCCAGGATCACCTGGGCACTGCGTTACCTGAATGATGTGGGTTAGAATCTAACATCTCAATATGTGGCAACTTCCATTTAGAAAATGTTATTGCAATCATAAAAGGAAAATGGGAGAGATAGAGTATGCGGTGAAGCACACTCTCAAGAGTAACTTATTAACTGCCATAACTAAGCTAATGAGCTCTTGAGGACTAGAAAGTCCACTTGCCCTTAGGCAGCAGGAAAAAAATTATTTTCTGATGTATTTTATATTCTAGTCTTCTGTGAACTTTAGCCTCAACAAACAATACACGTCCTGCAGATCCTGTTCATAGAAAAAGCTCGTCTGTAAAAAAAGAAAACTTTAATTTCTACATGACAGTACTTATTGTCAGCAAAGAGTGTCTAGTATGGAAACAGCTAGAATTTGAACACTTCAGAAATGGCAGAGGAGAGGACAGAGTAGGTAAAAGCATGCATGCTAGAAAGAAAAAAAAAGAGTTTATCAGTGTGTCTCCTGTGAGGATCATCCATATTTCGAGGTGATAATGTTTTTTGTGCTTTGAGCTGCATATGAGTCTCTCTCTTTTAAAAAAAAAACAAGCAAATCTCTTCACTTTTATGTTCAAGTTGTAAACAGAATATTTGAATTGGAAACCAATAAATAAGGTACCATGAAAGCTGAAAAATTTTCAAACTTTCCACTGTTTAGTAGGAAGTTTCAGGAAGATCTTAATTTTTGTTAGAAACATTCCGTCACTCCCCATACATTAAGACTCTCTTATAATGATGGCAATACTTATCAGGCAAAGCAACTGCTTTGTACCAAGCACAGTGCCAAGGGCTTTTTATAATTATCTCATTAAATCTTCAAATACCTCCACAGGATGAAAACAAGCTTATCCCCATCTACAGAAGGAAACCGGAGTTTAGAGAAGTTAGAGGTGGTTACATAACTACTAAGTTGCTCAGCCAAACTCACACAAGTCTTTCTGATTCTAAAGCTGTGGCAGTCTCATGTCCAATGTCATCATCCATTTTGCACAAATGACTCTA